GCTGCTCATTCTTCCAGAAGTTAGATCTGGCTGCAGTGACACGTGTCCTAATTACACTCAATTTGTGCAATAATAATATAATATACTACACATAGGACTGCCTGTGGAACTGCTTGGAATTTTCAGCAGGTCCAACATGTTGTGGACTGCTGACTATATGATGTTACAGGGATCACAGAACTCCCGAGCTGCAGCAACCCCACTATCTGTTGTTTTGCTTCTGGGCACAATTCAAAAATGCTGTTTATGAACAAACTATACAGCTGAATATGGGCATTTGTAGCTATCAGAGTCTTTCTTTCTGCAACCTTCCTATTTCTACATGTTCTTCCTGTAAGGCATGGTAGCCATAGCTTGGCTAAGGACCTTGGTTGCTGGAGGTTTCTGGAATTTATAGTACAAAAAGTACTTTTTCCAAGCTCTACCAATGAGACAAATTAGGGACAAATGGTATTTGGGTGTCCAGTTTAGAGCAAAATTTTGTAGATTTCCTTACACTTTAGCCCCAATTTTTGAAATGGAATTAGAATCCTTACATGCTTTCTGAGAAGACACATGAGAATTGTACCACTAAATGATTAGGCACAGTCCATGTTTGCATATCCGAAAGCAGGCAATTGTTGCTATATGCAGATCATGAACACATTTCTTAGCCATGAATCTGTGAACAACTCCAAACATGTCTGCATTATGCAAATCCATGTTGTTAGTGGGGTGAAATATTTATTATGAGTTCTTTCTTATTACTATGCAGATTTCTGTCTGCCTCTCTTCCTTTTTTAGCCATATGGAAATTTAAACAATTGTATTATAGTTCCAGCCTCTAGGCAATCAAATCTCAGTTATACAAACATTAATATAATTCTTGCTTTCACAAATTTCCACAATACATTTGCCTATCCACATATTTTAATATAAGAATAACCATCAGGCAAATCCTTCTCTTTCTGATGGAAAATATGGTGTATTTTGCAATACTAATTCTGGCTACAGGAAAAAAAATTATTCAGGGTCCTATTCATACTTTATTGAAACCTTAGCAAAGGAAAACTGAATTTAAAATGTAACATTCTTCTGAAATAAAACATCCAAAGTAATATGTATTTATGACCCAACAACACTGTAAAAAGCTTTCTGATCTACTTAAAACAAAAATGCAAATTCTGAGGGGCTCATCATTATCTGCTGAGTTACAATCTTGTCTCTATTTACCTTGGAAGTAAGCCTTGTTGCATTAGGTGAATAGGGATGAATAATATTATGCAGTAAATTTATAACTGTTCGTTAAAGTATAATTAAATGATCCTGAATACGCATCCTCTGTTTATTAAAGTCTGGGGTTTTTTTTAGATCAGGTTAGTCTTTGAAAGGAGCATAGTAATTGCTAAATGTTGGATACTTCATCTAAAACTAAACATTGATCTATCAATCCCCTATGACTTACTGATATTCTTCTGTTTTAGATGTTTAAAAGTTCTTTGTTTGGAATGCTATTTCCCTCCTTCCATTAAAACTGCATAGTATAAAATGTTGAATTGGGAGACCCCACTTGGTCAATGAAACCTGCTAGGCAGCCTTGACCAAATCTCTGCCATTGTCCATCCAGATAAGAGAGATTGCTAGATGATCAGGCCAATATTGGTCTAGATACAATTTGCCAATCCTTGGCTAAATAGTAACAAGTCTTTCAAGCATATGAAGAACCTCTTTACCTAAGCATGATGAAGGCTTGCTGAGGGAGAAAGGGGATGCTGACTGAAAGTAATTTGTGTACATTGAATTGCAACAATTAACTGTTTCTGAATAAATAGGGCCAGGTCTGGTCAATGATTACATGGAAGATCACTTAGGGCAGTTGCAGACAATACTTTAATAATGCATGCCCAGTCAGGTTTAAAAAACCCAATTGGGCCTGCATTACAGTTCACACACACCCCAGAAAGCTCATGCTTTTTTTTTGGGGGGGGGGGTGTCTAGATGCCCTACTAGACCTTCTGGCAGGACACCTGGATACAAAAGAAAATCCCCCAGAAAAGTCTTAAAAAGAAAAAAATAACTTACTCAGCAGGTATTTCCCTGCTGCCAGCCCTCTCCTGGGACGTCAAAATGACGTGTCAGGAGAAGAGGGGCCAGGAGTGATTTTCCTCCTCTCCCCACCACTTTGTTTTGGTCAGACCTCACCTGGAATACTGTGTCTAGTTCTGGGCATCAGAGTTCATAAAGGATGTTGACAATCTAGAACGTCGTCAGAGAAAGGAAACTAAAATGGTCAAATGTCTCGAAGCCAACCTCTATGAGGAGCAGCTTAGGGAACTGGGTATGTTTAGCTTGGAGAAGAAAAGGTTGAGAGGGGACATGATACCTATGTTTAAATATTTGGACAGGATGTCATATTGAGGGGTCAGGCTTGTTTTTTTCTGCTCTAGAGATTAGGATATACAACAATGGATTCAAATTGTAGGAAAAGAAATTATATGTAAATATTAGAATGAATTTCCTGAAAGCAGTTCACTAGCGGAATATGCTACCTTGGGATTTAAGTGGAATTTAACCCCAACCAAAGCTGGATGGCCATTTGTCATGAGTGTTTTGGTTGTATGTTCCTGCATGGCAGGAGAATGGACTGTATGGCCCTTGTGATGTCTTCCAATTCAATGCTTCTCTGATACCTCACCCAGCAATAGTGAGATGCTGGAAACACAGCAGATATTGGGGGACAAAACAGATATGGAAACCAAGTAGTCAAGGAGAAAGCATCTGAACGGTACTAGATTTGTCACAGACTTGGAAGAGAGCCACACAAGAAACCAAGAGCAGAGGAAGTAGAGGTAGTCAACAACCTACACAGGAGATAAAAGCATTTTCAACCAGAGGGGGAGTCAAGGAAGAACTTTTGCCAATATGTGTCTCCTTATCTCACAAGCCACAGTTTTCCCACTTCTTTCATGCTCGGGAGCAGCTTTAAAGAATATGCTGTTCTCTGTAGCAGAAGTGGCCTGTTTGACCTATCTGTAAAGAATCTGCAGCCCAGCCAAAAAGGGAGTTGGTCCATCCAACTCAGAGAACAGGATTCTGAGCTGTGTAATGATAAGGGACCAGTTAATATATAGAGAGCAGAATTTCTGGTTATGCCATGACGAAGTCAGAGGACTGTGATGAACTTTTTTTCCCATTGAGGAATTCTAAATTATTCAGATAGTTTTGTCCATGTCACTGGGGCAGGTTTTTGTCTCTGCAAGCATCTATAGCAGCAGCTGGCCTGCATTGAAAGCTGTTGTTGCACTCATGGTGTTCTTGGTGAAGTAATCATCAGCTGATTGCACAGTACTGGATACTGAAGGAAAGTGGGCCAAAGCATGAATATTTAACTGATTTCTTTAGGATTCTTTAGGATTTTGCAAGCTCTGTTATTCCTGTTTTTCACAGATTTAATCTAACTTGGAGAATGATAGGATCTAAAATATGACCACAATGAAGATGTATATATATAATCATTACCCTGTAAGAATTGTTAGGTTCTTAATTGCCCTATAAATGATCTTTTTCTCACCAGAGGCATTTTTCAGTATTTAGAAAGTATGTGTCATTTTGCCATTTGTTATCTACTCGGCTAGAAAATGCAGAAACCTTATGGTTTGCTTGAAGATAATGTTGACCTCTGGTTAAGTGATAAGTGATATACTTGTAGAGAATAAAACTTACATATATTTTGATTTCTATATTGCACTTGCATGTTTCATAGTGTGGAAATGGACTTAGTGCAAACTATGTAATACTGGAAATGCATTTGACTCCTCAATGCTCAAAAGTAATGTCAAATTGGTAGAATGTATTCAGGAAGCTTACGATAATAATGTCGTAAATAGGAGTTGATCTGTTAATTGCCATGGAATGCATGACATCCTGAATAGTTTTACAAGAAACAACAGTGTAAACCTGAAATCAAATTATTGAACAAAAATATGGAATGTTACCCATTTCAGTGGTTCCATGTCCTTGTTTCTCATGTATGGCAACCCTAAGGTGATATTCTTGGCAAGGTTTGTTCAGAGTAGTTCATTTGTTTGTCTTTGCTGCTCTTTCCTATGGCTGAGCAGAGATTCAGGCCCTGGTCTCTAAGATCATAGCCTAATTCTGGCTCTACACTCATTATGGTAGAACTACATAAAGAATCCAGATATTTCTCATGTCAGGATCTCAATACAGAAACAAAAAGGCAGTCTTAATGTGCACATAAGAGCCGACTGTGTGATTTGACAAGAAGTAGCCATTCTGTTTCTACCGTTAACATTTTCAGTGCTTTGTGTTTTGTGTGTATGTGTTTTGTTTGTTTAATTATTTTTCTAAGCTACTCCAAAAAGCAATTGCTAGTTCATAATGGGAACAATATCTATTGCATTAAGTAGCTTTGTATATAGGATGGTCTGAACTATTTGCAGTACTTAACATATTGGGAAAGATAGTGTGTACTGATTGACAGGTGCCAGCTAAAGAAAGAGCAGCTTTCATCATCGTTATGATTTGCTCCCAATCTGGCCTTGAATGTTCATTTTATTGGAACTCAATAATGTTTTATTCTCTTACTTTACTCGATGAAGACAGATGGATATTTAAGAAGCCAGGAACTGAACTCTCAGGCTAATTTTAGATAATATTGGTGAAGTGCTAAATTTATTGGGCTTGATTTATGAATAACATTTTTAAATTCATAAATATGTAGGATTTAAAATTGGCTCTTGATAATACTCTATAGAATATTCACTGTCCCATTCTTATTGTCCATCATCATTGGACAATATATGGCTTACAGATTTAAGTCACAGTGCAATGGTTTTTTTGCATGTCTATTCAAAAATATGTTTCACTGATTTCAGTTAGGCTTACACCCAGGTAAGTTGCACTAGGTCTACAGTCTTAGTTGAGAATGTTAATAAAATTATATATTCAATCAGGACTCAGGATTCTCATCTAAACATAAATCTTTATCATCTTTTTTTAAGGGCTGAAGTCAAGTGAGCCAGTCATGACCGGCAAAACACAGACCAGTAATGTAACCAATAAGAATGACCCCAAGTCCATCAACTCAAGAGTTTTCATTGGAAATCTCAATACAGCCATTGTCAAAAAAGGCGACATAGAGGCAATCTTTGCAAAGTATGGAAAAATAGTTGGCTGTTCGGTGCACAAAGGTTATGCATTTGTACAATACATGAGTGAGAGGCACGCAAGAGCTGCTGTAGCAGGAGAAAATGCCAGAATCATTGCAGGACAACCACTTGGTAAGTAGCTAAATGCTCCACCATATTTTGATTCATTGATAGTTCTGTCTATTCCTAGTATGATAAGTCTTCCAACTGTCCATAACCAAGGCTGAATCAGTTGGAATGAAATATTTACTGTTGTTCTTTATTTAGACTTTTTTTCATTCTAGTAGTGACAAGGAAATAAGAAGCCCTTATAATCCATGAAGGAGAAAGTATAAGGCTCCATGTTGAATTCTGAGTTGTGTATATATACAGATTTGATTTATACTTTACTGTACTTGATGTGAGTATTTAATATCAGTTCTTAGGACTAATACATAAACAAAATAAATCCCAGTGAGGTTTAAAGTTGGCTTCCATAATGAAACTATAGTTAGTTCTCACTTTGAGGTAATTTTGCACTCCGGTTATTGAAATGAGTATTGGTTTCCTAGCTGCACATTGCTGTACTAGAAGAGAAAAAATAATGGGATGAGGGAGACATGAACTCAAATTTCAATGTGCCTTTTTATTATCATACTAAATTATTATTAGAAACAAGAATGGTGAGGCTGAATTCCTCCAGGTACTTGAACTCAAACTTGCATTATCTCTAACTGTTATTAATTCTAACAGAGTTGAAGGGAATTTCAGTTCAAAAACTTCTATTAGGCCACAAATGTATTATCTTAGGTGGAAAATGACACCCAAATTCAGCCTATCATACACAGATTAATGTTTTACCACCAACAAATCTAATATACATTTTTTATTCATTTTGAAGATTCTAAGGGTTAGGTCGGTGCTAGTCTCCTTGTAGAGAGAAAAAGCAGAGGGTAGACCAAGGATGTTATAGAACATCCTTGTAACTTTTTAGGGTATTATGTTTGTTTTAATGAATTGTTTATGTTACATTGCTTATTTTAATGATGTTGTGAGCCACCTTGGGTCCATATGGAGAAAGGCAGCATAAAAATTCCAGAAATAAATAAAGAAATAAATAAACTACTACTACTAATATGAGAACTGCATATCTGGAGGCGATTGGAGTAAACTGTAGGGGTGACGCAGATATTTGAACTGGCTTGGGATTGTGTAATAGCTGGTCTATTTTAACCTTTGTTTTAACCTTCGTTTTTAATATTGGTGGTTTGAAATTTTATCCTGGCATTTTAATGATGATATTTTAATTACCTTTCAACTTAATCAAGTTTGAATGTATGTTCGTTCACTATTATGGGAGTCTTAGGATAGTGACGTTTCTGTTTTTGTCTTTACGGTCAGTGGACTAATCAATAAACTTTGCTTGCTTGCACTACTAATACTACTAATACTACTACAACTAATAGTAATAGAAAGCTACTGTTGTTTATCGATATATGGCTTAAGTTTTGTTTCAAGGATAGCTGGAAGATAACAAAAAGCAGTGTTATGACATATATTCCTGTGCCACGTTTTAGATTTTTATAGAAAAAGAAAATAACAGCACATACAATTGAACACAGCAAAAAGTAGGACAAATGTTTAGCTACTGTTGCAAGAGCTAAAGTGCCCTGCCCAAGGACAAAGTGTTCTATTTTTGTTATCTGCAGTGTTTGGGCTAAATGGTATTCTTTACTAAGCATTATAGCATGCATCATTCAGAAGAGGTGTGTTAATCTGAGGATTTTATAATACCTGTTAGCACCATTAAAATATATATCCTGGCTCTTTGTTTGTAGAAGATATGATCATTTGCCATGGTCAATAGAAATTAAGTTGATGAGCATGCTTGGTTTTCTCATTCTTATCATACTTCTTGGAGAGTTATTTTGAAAAAGTAATAAATTACCATTATAGTAAGCTACTGTTATAGTCACCATGTTTAAAAAATAATCTTTACCTTTCTTAGAATTGTTCAACATAGTTACTTTCTAGTTTCTGTCTTATGGGACAAAACACACTGCTCCCTTTGTACTCAATTATCAATCCAATATCTTTAACAGAGAACCACATGCTCTTCTTCTTACACTTAGTGAGATTAAGTCCCACATAATTTTAAAAGATACTGATACTCACAAATGGAAGTTCTCTCTCATTAAGTGACAACTGTGATTTAATATAGCTTCATTATTGGAAACAGGAGTTAATTACAAACAAAGTTTAGACAAGTACTATTTGGGCTACAGCTTCCAAAATTATGCAGATAAAGCAGTTGTAGACCAAGTATAATCACAAATGTTTTGATAGATTATGAATGACACACAGTGGTAGTATTTGGCCATACCAGTTCTTTCAGTGTGATTTAAAATAGATTTGGTAACCACTATTTGTATTATTTATATTATTGTATTGAAAGTAAGTTGGCAGGTATTTTCTCCTTCTCTGTGTGGAGCTGATCCTTCGTAGACAGAACTTTGTTTAATAGCAGTCATTCTTTCCACCCAAAGTAGGAGAGTTATTCTTCCCTTTCGAGTTCCACTCTGTCTCAGCACTTTCTGCACACTGGCTGTTTAACCTTTTGAGCCATTTCATCAAATATGTTCCCTTTCTGTGAAATTTCTTTCTTTTGGGATACTTTTTTACCTGCGTCTTTCCATCCTGACAGGGATGGTTATTCTCACTGATTTGCAATAGATCATGAATGCTGCTCTGAATCCTTCTCAGATGAGGAGTTTGGGGATGACTTCATGATGGGGGCAAGCACCTTCAGGGCATACTCAGAGGGTAGACCAAGGACCATGGCTAGTCTGTAATCTATTGGATTGTTGTTGTTTTTTTAATTGATTGAAATGGTTTTATAATTGCTTTACATATTGCTTTACATGGTATAGATCCATCAGTAAAGGGTTAAATAAAGATGAGTGGGTGAGTAAGTGGATGGACGTCTGCTTATTTTTCTTCTGTACTTTGATATTTCTCATCTTCATAGATTTCTAGACACTGATAAATTGTCTGGATTGAGTAACATTTCTTTGTTATTTCTTGTGCCAGTGTATTTTTAGATTTGGTTTATTTCCAAATACATGCCAATAGGTTTCACTTACAGCAGAAGGTAGAGGAATCTGAAGCTAGTTAGAAATAAGAAAATTTAAAGACTCTCTTTTGCAAGACCGCGCTACTATGATGCAGGAGGCATATGACTGGCAGAATCCTAAACTGGATTGTTTCCCAAAATATCTAAACATTTTCTTTGTTTTCTAGCATTTGAAGGTTCTTCCCAACATGCAGTTCTAAATGGGCTCAGAAATTATTTTGTAGGAGTTAAGACCAAAAAGACCTTTTCTTAAATACTTTATTCTAAAATTAAGTGCTGTATTTCAAAATCCATGTATTCCAGGAGAAAGTCTAAGGAAGATACATGTAGACTCTCCTGAACACTTCATTTTGGGGGTGGGGTGTGTGTGTGTGTGTGTGTGTGTTCATATTATTTTGTTTTATCCTTAGGGGGTCAAAGGTACATTGATAGACATATTAGCCAGTATTTTATTCCTTAATGTGATTATGTTAACTGAAATAAGGCAATCAGGAATGTTCTTCAAGAAGTTTGATCCAGTCTGCTCTTCTATAAAATTCATTTAGGAATTATGAAGTGCTGTAGTCATTAGCATGCTAGTTTGCTGCCCAGAAATCATATATTTCATTGAATGCCTCTCATAGCAATTGTGTAAAAACCAGCAAGCTCTATTGTGTTACTTGTCTCTTGATTTATAGCAATTTATTTGTGCTTACTTCATATCTATTGTTTTATTGCCATTTTTTTAAAGTGGAAGAAAACCACAAGTTAAAAAGTTTTAATTAGATTTCCTGGGGAAGGAGAGTAATTAAGATGACTTAAATACATGGAAAATGCCTATATCCCAAAGGCACAAGATCCTGTTCGATTCTAGAAGCTAAACAGGGCTAGTCCTGGGATGGGAGATCACAACCCACACCAGGAGCTGTAGGCTATATTTCACAAGAAGGAACTGGGATAAGCATCTCTTTCTCTAACAAGGACTGGAGTGAATCATCAGGTGCCTTGAAGACATGTATACAGACAAATACTTGGGCACATTATCTTTTTCAATAACTACCAGACTTCCCTCCTCCTTCAAATTTAAAGAGGTTTTGCTGTAAAAAAGAGGATCTTTTCCAGCTCTGCATTTAACCCATGGTCAAAAAAACATCTACATAAATGTGCCAGAGTTATGGGAATATACATGAAAGCCTTCCAAATGGGAATTAAGAATATGAGAGGATAAATTAGTTTCTTATGAGGTTTCAATTCCGGTTTGGGGTCTGCAGTAGGTGTAATTTAGTGTGGTGTAATTTGAAGTAAGTGTTAAGAATTATGAATTTTAATTTTCATGAGAAGTACCATATTTACTTGAATCTTATGCGCCATCGAATCTAATGCTTGTCTCAATTTTCAATACCTTGAAATTAAAAAACATATTTGCTGGCAAATGTAATGTGCAGCACCAAAATTTTCATTTTTTTAATTTGACCAAAAAGGTATATGTTACAGCTGTTGAATACTTAACCTTCTTTAAATACAAAAGTATTAGAATACCAAAGTTTCCAGTGATGGAAAAGAAAACCAGATAAACAGCCCTTCCTTCAAATTGTCTCTACCTCTTATCCTGCCTTAGCTTCCTTGGGGTGCATCTATGCTATATAAGAAATGTATCTTGACACCACTTTAACTACTTGACTCCATAATATGGAGTCATGGGAGCTATAATTTTACATAGTCTTGAGCCTTCTTTGCCAAGGAGTGCTATGTCCATTCGGAATACTCCTAACAGAGCCCAATGAGCAACATAAGGTACATCAAGGTGCTGGTTTTGACCTACAAAACCCTTTACGGTTCCGGTCCAGCGTATCTGTCCGAACGTATCTCCCTCTACGTCCCATCTCGGAATCTGAGATCATCTGGGGAGGCCCTGCTCACGACCCCACCGCTATCACAAGTGAGGCTGGTGGGGACGAGGAGCAGGGCCTTCTCAGTGGTGGCCCCCCATCTGTGGAACTCACTCCCGGGGGAAATCAGGGCTTCAACTTCCCTCCTTGCC